TCTCACCACCCCTGAGCCTCTGGCCTGTACCCCAGCTCTGTATGCACAAATAAATAAATCTTTAAAAAAAAAAAAAAAAAAAAAAAAAAAAAAAACCACTTGTGATATTCTTATACATCTATCAAATGTCTAAAAAAATTTTTTTTAAATGGTTAAATCACCAAATGCCGGGGTAGATGAGGAGAAACTGTATTGTTCATACATTGCTGACAGGAAGGTAAAATAGTGCAACCATTCTAGGAAACAGCTCATTAGTTTTTTATAAAACTGTTATGGGGTTATTTTATAACATAGCAATTCTCTTAGGCATTCCAGAAAAATGAAAAACTGCTTACACAAAAAAAAACTGTACAAGAGTCCATATCTGCTTTATTCACAAAAGCCAAAAAGTGGAAACAGCCCAGATATCCTTCAGAGATTATACGGTTAAATAAACTGTGGTACATCCATGCCAAGAAGACTACACAGCAATGAAGAGAAACAAGCTTCTGAAACTACATATAATCATAATGGATCGCCATATGTTGCTAAATTTTTAAAAAGTTTCTTCAAAGGTTATATGCTATTTGGGATGCCTTGATGATATAGGGGTTAAGTTTCAGGGCTATCACACTATCTCCACTATGACTTGAGTTAGATCCCCAGCCAGGGAGGTGACCCATATATGGTGTGGCAGGACTCTCCAGTTTCACCTGCTGCTCCCCTCAGCAGTGTATTTCATTGATCTGCCTGTTCTGCTCTCCACTCTGTCTCTGGTGAATCCTCTCACCCACCACACCTCTGGCCTATACCTCAGCTCTTATATGCATAGGTAAATAAATAACAAATAAAAAAAAAGTTACATGCTATTTGATTTCATCATTATGACATTTTTGAAAAGTCAAAACTTTGAAAGATGAAGAACAGATTAGTGACTTCTAGGAGTTGGGGACAGCAGAAGAAAGGGGACAGAAGTAGGAAAAAGGGGACAGGGGACAGGGAGAGGGCAATAGGCATCAAGGGATCACAAAGATGCCATGATTTGGGAAGTCTCTGTCAGTTTGTGATGGATCTACAAACCTACATGTGATAGAATGATTTATAACAAAAGAGAGAGAGAGGACAAGGAAAAGTGGAAAGATCTGAGTAAGATTGCTAGACTGTCTCAATGGTTGTGATATTGAACTGCTGGAGATGCAAGATGGCACCACTGGGGGAGACTGGATATAGAGGACATTGGATCTCCTATATTATATATATTATATAATATATATTATATATTATATATATTTGTTACAACTGCATTACTCTAAAACTCACCCTTTAAATTTTTTAAATTAAATTGCCTGTTTTGTATTTATACCTCACATTTTATAAACTTGAAAATGTAAAAGAACAAAATATCAGAAAATTCACCATCCTGATACATAATCTTTTGATGCATTTCTTTCTGGTCATTATTTTTTACATTTATATGGAAAAAATGTGAGGGGTGGGCTTAAAAATGAGAATGGTGACAAAGTGGGGCCTTCCTGTTCCCCACCTTCTATGACATCAGAGCTCAGTGCTCTATGGACAGAAGCCAGGGAGGAGACTGATGCCATCTGCCTTTCCGGTGGGGGCACCTTGGTTCGCCAAGGCAGCCTGACCTGAGGCCATGGTGGTCCAACAGGCAGGCAGCAGGGGACGAATGGCAGCCGAGCTACTAGAAAGGAGAAGAGGTGATCACTGTGAGGACAGGAAGCAGGTGAGGCCAGCCCCACATTTTCCTCTCTTCTGGGATCCCTTTGCCACTGTGAGAACTTCAAAGTCAAAAACAGGCTTTCTTGACTCTCCCCAGTGCCTCACCTGGTAGAACCCAGCACAGGGATGTAAGTGGCTTCCCAACACCATTTCTGCCTGCTGAATTCTTAGCACTGCCAGCAGAAGAGATGCCCTGGGAGGGTGGAATTTTGTTTAATTTCCTACTACACTTTAGTGTCTAGAATGATGGTTGGTGCATAATAGGTGCTGAATGAACAAATGAATGAATGTGCTGAAATATAGAGAATAACATACCCAAGTTGGAGTTATCCTAGTTATCCTTAGGGCTGAAATTTAAACCTCACATGGGATTTTCAAGGCAAAAAAAATGTTAACACTGTGCACAAATTGATATTCTCCACTACCACCACGATCCTTTCATGACTTAACAACATTCACAAGAGGGAACTGTTATCACCCCTCATTCACAGATGAGCAAGCTGAGGCTCAGAAAGCAAAAACACCACAGAGTTGAGATCAGGTGAAAGCAGGTCCATCGGATTCCAGGACTCTCAGGCAGGTTACCTTGCACTCTACTGGGGAAATGAGGGAAATGGTTTAGAAGTCTGGGAACGTCAGCTGGGCCTTGTACATGGAAAGTATTAGTAAGAACCTATGGAAGCATTTTAGCAGAGCCATGGATGACTGACCTTACATGCTCCAACACTTTATGTTAGCTCTCACAGAAACAGACCTTGAGGGGCACCCAGCATGCTGTAGCTTTTCTTTAAATGTCCTATGAATACAAACGATCAGGAATGATTCTTTCAGAAAAATTGTAAGGTAAGTTCTGTGCTTTCAGGAATGTTGAGACCTGGGTCATGTCTTGGAAATTTACTCTGCTCCTTCACTGAAGAGTAGGGAACTCATCAAGGAAGGAAGGAAACTCACTTTAACTCTGCTACCTCCAGCACTTCCCAGCCCATTCAACTGCAGTCTTATTTCTTTTCGAAAGAACTTTCAGCTTATTTCTAAACTCAATATACTGATGAGGAAACTGAGGTTGAAAGAAGAAAATGACTTGGCTCACACCCCAAAATATTACAGGAAAAACTAAAAACTTAATCCTAGTTTTAGCCCCTGCCCTTAGGCTGATAGAAAATTCACCCAGTAAAGTATACTGATATAGGAGTAGTTAAAGAAGTAAAAGAGCCAGAATTAACCTAACCAAGGAAGTGAAGGACCATGGGGTCATTGCATGCAATGAGCGCTACAGGAGACTCCTAAAAGATTTAGACTGTGACATGGAAAGACACCCCATGCTCAGGAGAGGGGAAAACCAATATAGTGAAAATGACTATTTGTTCTGAAAGCCATAAATAAGTTTAATGCAATACCAACAATATTCTTCAAAGAAACTGAACTACAAAATATTGAAATTTACATGGAACTGCATAAATTTGCTATATAAATAGCAAAAGCAATCTTGAGGAAAAAGAGAAATGGAGGAATCAAATTGCCTGATTTTACACTATACTAGAAAGCAGTAGTAATTAAAAGATTATGGCACTGGTGTTAAAAAAAAAATGCAGGGATTGGCCCTCCCTGGTGGCGCAGCGGGTTAAAGCAAAGCACTGAGAATCTAAGGCCGCTTCCGCATGAGTTCGATTCCCACCTGCCCCGGAGGTGACCACATGGTGTGGTCCTGACCCACCCGCTGCTCCCCTCAGCAGTGTACTTCGTCGATCTGCCTGTTCTGCTCCCCACTCTATCCCTGGTGAATCCTCTCACCCTCCACATCTCTGGCCTGTACCCCAGTTCTGTATGCACGAATAAAATAAATCT